CCCAAACCTGCTGAACGTTTCGTTCCCGGAGTATGACATTCTGCAAGATAGGAGGGGATGTTACGTGGTCGATGATATTGATTAGTTAGTTCAGCCACATAACGTTCTTATTGGTTTGCCTCTCATTGACCAACCAAAAGCTCTTCACGTCATGCTTTAAATCGTGTGTCATGTGATCCTTGTACGCAGTTTTTGGCGCCATACACTCTACTTCGTACGGTGCCTTCTTCTGCCCAACTCCGGTCCGCGGGCGATATGCCTCCTAGAGACTTACTCAAAAAAACCAAACGCGATGGGATCTACAGTAGAACAATGCACCAGTAGTGTGTCGAATGAGCCCATGCAACCTGTAGAATATGATATTGGCCAGACACCTTTCACTGAACATAGAAGATTAGACACGGGACTAACTATGCGGGCGATGAATAACACGTTGAACCATTCTTCAAGTACACACCGAAAAGCGATTAGTCAACGGCCACTCACTTGTCGGCGAAACTCCATATCTGAGTTGCACAACCTCCGAAACATGGCTTAAATCTGAGAAACTTTCATGTATGTATACGAACGCCCAAGTGCTTCTAAGTCGACTTACCGAACTTCAGATACTTCAGGTTGCGAACGCTTGGGACGTAATTTGATTACCGAAACTCGGTTGCACCAAGAGGTGACTGATGCTGAGGTTGAGATAAGCGGAATGTCACAACACATGCGGAACGACCGCACCAGCAGAGGAGGTGGAGTCCTACTCTACAACTGCAACGACCTGCAGTGTGCAATAGTTGATGATCTGGAAACTCATGTTATCGACTCACTCTGTTGCCGTCTCCGACTAAGACACAACGACGCATGTCTCGTAGTTGTCGTCTACCGCCTCCGACCTCCACTCCGGAAATGGATTCTTGCTTGATACGTGGTCTGAACAGAGTAACACGCACTAAGTACAACCACATACTCATTTCCGGCGACCTCAATATACACGAGCTAGAGTTTCCTGCATCACCCAGTGAGCAGTTCAAAGCAAACTTGCTTGAATTGATCGCTAATATTCCCTTGTACAATCATGTCACCATGCCCACTATAGATTCAGGACAACAAACAAATCGTCCACATTGGACCTTGTGCTCATGAATGAACAGTTCATGGTTGACAAGTTATTGATGGATAGTCCATTAGGTCTCAGTGACCATGTAATAATAACCTTCAAATATGTGCGTTATGCAGAGTATCCAACTGAACACTCGAAACTAACTCATACCATCACACGCTACCACGTACTGAAAGAACTCGTCGACGCATGTGCTTGAGAATTCTCAATCAACAGTTCACTTGACAACCGAGTTCCTTGATAGACTCAGCGACATCGTCAACGCAGCATCAGAGACCAAGCCCCTTCGTCCTGCAAAAATACCTTCAATTCTTAAGAGCAGGATTCGAAAATGCCTGGCGATAAGGGATGCAGCATGGCGTGTCTACAAAGTTAACCTCGACTCAGAGACTTGGGGAAATTTCCTGACTCCTTGTAACCATTGCACTACGCTTGGCCGTGAGGACAAAGTTACTTATCAACAGTGCCTAGCCATAATATTCCTGGCAAACAAAAAATGCTGTATAGGCATGTCAACAAACTTCGTAAAATGAAGCATCGTATCCCTCCACTTTTCACGACAGGCGGTAGAGTACAACGCGCCGAAGTAGCAGCTAATGCCCTGCGGCTACAATACGCTCCAATTTTCGAACTCGCAGCCTCTACCTGTCCAATAACGTCGTGCACATTGCCGACTCCACTGTTTACACATGTACTTTTCGACCGATCAGTTGTGCTAAGGAAGTTTCATTGCGCGATCAAAGCTCTCCGGCAGCCGACAACATCCGCCCGAAAGCACTGCAGTTTACGGCCACCAGGCTAGCTGAACCATTGTCACAGATCTTCCAAAGGTGCTTTGATGAACTGCAAGTCCCCACTATGTGGAAGCATGGCATTATTACCCCAGTTTTAAAAGGCGGTAGCCGTTTAGAGCCAGCAAACTCTCGCCCAGTGACTCTCCTCCCTGTGCTCGCGAAGGTGATGCAAGCGGTTGTCACTGAGGCTTTAACGGACTACCTGGAAAAACGCAACATCTTGGCACTGGAGCAGCATGGGTCCCGTCAACACCGGTCATGCACCACCAACCTACTGATTACACGAGGTAGTTGGACCGAAGTGGCTGATGATGAGGTCGGAGTTGATGTCATCTTTCTGGACTTCTCTAAAGCTTTCGATCACCTGAACCAGCGCATCCTACTGCACCGGCTGCAGAGCTACGGAACAAAAGATCTTGTGCTTAGTTAGATTGGCAACTTTCTTCATCAACGGAAGCTTCAAGTACGGGTTAGGGGATTATTCTCTAACCCAATTGAGGTGGAATGTGGTGATGCACAAGGATCAGTGCTGGGACCGCGCTTATTTCTGGTGTTTATCAACGACCTGGCAAGACTTCTCTCCTCAAATTTCCTGCTTTTCGCCGATGGCATCAAGATATGGCAGGCGATTAGTAACAATGTACATCACGATCTACTACAACATGACATAGATTGAATTTATGAATAGTCAACGAGGAACCTGCTTCAGTTTAACATAGCTAAGTGCAAGGTGATCGGTCTGCGTCACCAGCCGGTGAGCGCTTACAAGCTTGGAGGCTACGCCTTGCACAAGACCTCTCAAGAGCGTGAACTGGGTGTGCTGGCACAGGAAGATCTCGTGTTCAAAACAAGCAGAGAAGGCGACGGGAACCGGAAATCAACACTTCAGCCTGCTTCGCAGAGTCTTCGGTCGGTTTGAACCCACAATCTGTCCCCAAATGCTTAAGGCCTACGTGCGACCGCTTGTGGAATATACTATCCACGTGTCGCAGCCGTGGCAGAAACAGGATATCGTAGCTCTTTAGACTCCTCAAAGTAGAGCAACCGAGAACGTCAGAGTCCACTTCATCTGCCGTGTCATCTTAGACTGAAATCTCCGAGAATGTACAGCAGTCGATATCGGCTTTTGCGGGGGGATCTCATACTGATTTACCAGATTCTGAAGAACACAAACCACATTTGCTATCCGCTGCTGGAATTGAACCACAACACTACACTAAGAGGTCACCCTCTGAAACTGACAATTCATTATAGCCGGCTTGAATGCCGTAGAACTTTCTTTTCCCTCTGCGTGTGCCAGCCCTGGAACGCGCTCCCTAACTATGTCGTCTCTGCTCCCTATCTGGCGGTATTTAAAAAACAAGTGGACGATGCATTTTCTTATCTGAATTTCATTCTATAACTTGTTAGCCTGGGGGCTAGAAAACGTAATCAAACGGTGTCTTGCCAAACGCCTAACCAATGGATTTATGGATTTATAGTTTTAATACGCGAGCATCTCCGCTATTCTACATAAGTCTATGGTGAGTCAACCAACACGTTTTCACTTCATCATGAAATTTACTTTTCATAATAATGTCCATCGCACGGGACTTGTTAAGCATTGCTTTTTTACCCGTAATACACCATTGTTCCATTGCGTAAATTTTTTAAAACGGACTAGCCTATGACAGGTTTCACGTCTATTCGCACTCTTCAGCTAGACAATATGGGGAGCACTGTCAAAGAACGAAGAGACGCGTAGACCATTTTAGTTGGTTCATTTCCTTCAGCACTTCTAATTTCTGGTGTTGTGTACTTTCGTCTCAACTGACCCGTTTGTAACCAAGGAGCGATTTTTCAGGAAGTGCTCTCTGAATTAATAAAGATACTTCCTACTGAAAGTTGTCTTCGCTCGGAAAGACAGCCGTCACAAGTTCGCTTGCTTTTGGGTGATCCATCGACCCCGCAAGTAAAGGCTGGATTCTACCAGTGCATTTAGCAACATCTGGCTTTGTCGAAGCGGAAAGTAAAGCCACATACTTCACGGGCCGAGATGGTTTCAAAGAGATCTTAATGACTATCCGTGGGAGTTGAAGTGACTCATTTTACTTTTACTCATGGTTACTCTTCGCCGCCAGCAATAAGTGGCACTATGTCCTTCACGGATTCATTCGAGTTTATGAGCGAAACTATGACCCTTCGAAGCTAACCGGAGCCCCTTAAACAGGCATAACTAATAAGTTACGCAAGCAAGGTTATTCGTGGTACACCCATGTTCGTTGGCAAACTTGGTCCCAGGCTAGCCGTTGACAAAGAGTGTAAGCCAGGTAAGGGATAAGAAGATACGATTGACTATTTACGGACCGTCACATGGTATGCGTGTAGATTAACACGGGTAGGACTATCATTCGCAGTGACACTAAACCGACGCTAGTAAACGTTGCTCCTCCCGTTGCACTTCAAGTCCGTTTATACGCAACTGAATAGTCTAAACAAGGACGATAACAGCCGTGTAGTGTGGCGTTAGAAGCACTGATCACCGGCTATTTAATAGACGATATTAAGCTTGCTCATTCTGGAGCTGAAAATGGTTGCAGCACTTCAGTTCCTCGTGGCTACCGCTTGAGCAGTAGAGTCACATATGCCTTCTTTCAAATTGACTCCACCCCTTGCTGCGGCCGGCTGTTCAGCTCTTGAACTTTTACTGTGTGGGTCAAGCCGAGACAACCAAGTTATCGTGCTCACTGACCGACTCGGCACCTGGGCACAGCACCTTCGGTACTTTTTATTTCATATTAATGTTTGTCTGAAGTGCATTGCAGTTGCCCCATCGGCATGCTTATATGAAAATAAAAATGCAACAAGTTTCATATCTCTAGAGTGCGCAGAATGTATACTGTGCCTATCAACGAATCGGAGAAACGATGCAAGGTGGCAGACAAGACTACGATAGCCTGGATCCTTTGAATTCTGCAAAAGAACCTGTAATTTTAGCAAGTGCGGTCATAAGGGCATGTGATTCCAAATGGCATGCAATATCCGAGGTCTTTCACAAGCGTCCCTTTCGTGTGGCTTACTGGTTGCAACAATAATTAAACTCAGTATTTGGTGCTCACCGTTGTCACGTTGATGATCCCGGCCAAATCCACCACATGACCAGCAGTTAATGGTTGATGGCTCAGTTGGGCAGCCAACCCTTGTGGGTGCGTGATCACATTGGAATGCATAGATTGATTGTGTCGAGCTATCATGCTTAACATTGCCCAGCTCATGTTACATCGAATGCCAAAGGTAATCATGAACCCGAAACTAGACAACCAGGCGATGTAATATCGTTTGGAACATTGGCAACAGGCGTAGTACATACAGCGACCTCTGCAAGTGCCGTCGTGGTAAGTCTGCTGCTCCTTCGCCCGAACTGCTCCATCAGCGTCATACGTCGTCTGTTCGAGGTCTCCCGACATCTGGCCATAGGTTGCCTCATTCGATTTCAGTAAACCGGTGTTCTTCAAGATTCTGGCGAATCAATGGAGAAGATTTAAAAAATTTTTGTGCTGTAAAGATGGGGCAAAACATATTTTGTTTCGAATACATAAAACTGAAAAGTCATGTCTAACGCAGTAACACCAGCACATCACTGTCGTTACTTGGTCAACACGAGTTAGTGTTTCCTGTTCGTAACAATATTAGGGTGACCAATTAAAGACTGACGGAATAGGGGAGGGGCAGAGAGACTGAAGATGGCATGTTAGCACCTGATAGAAGCATCTAAGCCAAGTGATCATCAAACAGATACATGGAACGAATTGTGTTCGACGGTTGGTGGATGAGGCTGTCATGTGTCTTAGGTCTGTGCGTATGCTAAATCTAGCGCTTCAGGTTTCAGGGAATTTCTAATTTCACACTAGATTTCCCCCGATGCTAATAAATAGAGATTAATTGGTAAAAAAGAGACACCCGGAAGAATGCATTTTTGGCATTTCTTAATACATTAATTTGGATAGGCATGGTAAAGTGCGTAGTTCAGTCATCTGTGTAGAACCGCCAGCAGACACAAGAAAGTTAATTGCACTTAATATTTCGACAACACCATTCTTAAAGTTCTGCACTACACGGCTGTCGAAATAACTGTAGATAGTCTCCGGAGTAAATTGATCTTAGCATGCGCCATTCCAAAGGCATTACCCCATGAACGGTTGTAGTTTCCTGAATTATGTGAGAGGACACATGCAGTTTTACTGAGGTAAGCCAAGAGCACAAGAAGGCCGAAGGTATGGGTTATTAAGACGCATGCTAAACACCTGAATTGCTAAACATTGGTTAATCCACTTCGAAATAAGAACTGCATTAGTTACTCTTTCCACTAACCCCGTCGTCGTTCCTCGTAGTCGCAGCTGTCAAAATGCTCATTTGGCTGTAGGGTGCGGACGCAGATAAGATCAATCAAGGTGTGTAATCTTTGCAGAAGTCGAAAAATACTTATGAGCGGAGATGGATCAAGACGAAGAGTAATGTGTAGGTTTCGTGATCACGCTTGAGGTGAGCAAGCCAATCCCAGCTTACTTAGTGTTGCGGTAAATCGGGTTTTATTTAATCATCCTGAATACTTGGAAAGGTCTGCAGTAAGCTCCCAGGCCAGTTAGACAGCATGAAGATATCGTGTAAACCAGGCAATTTGAACTTGCAGCCTGTGGGTCACATGCGACTTGTGGCAAGATCGCCTTTGGCTCCCGCGAAGCAGCGTAACTTCGTCGTTTGGCTGCCGAAACTTCAGTCATGTGATTGGGTGGACAAAGTTGTTCTATTCACTGAAAAGCGGAAACGTTTCTTTATGCATCGCGTTTCTACTCTTGGAAGTAGCCCTCCAGCTTTTGATTTATTGCATGTGCCCACAAAAGTACGCTTGTGACTGCGAGATGAGTTGGAGAAGCATTCTAAAAAATAGTTATAACGTTAAAGCCTTACTTCAAATAAATGCAACAAACAGGCCATGATAAACTCATCTTCATCTTGCAATGCCTTGTTTTCGTTTCTACATACTTCCATGACGTTTAAAAAGGAAAGTGTATCACATGGATTATGATAATAATCGCTTTCACATATATTTATGAAGAGTTTATTCCTTGATTAAAAATAGCAAAAACATCTCAGGGAAAAAGACTGACCAATCAACACTTATCTGTGACTAAAGTCGGAGCTGCAGTTAGTTCATCAAAATTTACTACTGACAGTCGTTAAAGTGCGCTAAGCCAAATACTACAAGTAATTGAACAGCACTAAATCTTCATTGTAATCGGTTGTTTTTCCGCAATAAAATTGCTGCTGTCTCATTACATCTAAGATCACCCCTAGAATTTTGAGTTCCCATTCCTTGACTTACTTTATTACTCTACCACGAAACCAGTTGTATACACATTGTATATTAGTAATGCATTTGAAATATTATGCACCATATATATATATATATATATATATATGTCTAATAATTCCATATGCTGACGTCCATGTTGAGCATATCATACTTCAATGCAGTCGGGCTACACGAACACATTTCGACGACCTCTTCTTACCCTGGATAAATGTATTCCATTTTGTTTGACTTTCTCAGTTCCTTTACTGCATATTCCGGGTCGACTTTGCGTTTATTTTCCTTCAAAGTATTTGTCAGTTAGTTGACATTTCCGGCGTTGCTGTGTCTTACATGAATGTTGATAAGATGCCTATCCATCGAAAACCGCTAGCTCGATTATACTAGCTTCAGGAGACAGTTGGTCTTTTCTTGAGGAGACAAGATGCACGGTTCTCGAGACCGTGCTAGGCCCAAAGAGTTGTTCCAATCATCCAATGTGGAGCGGACTTTGGTCCAGTCACCGCCTTGTGTACTCCTGGTACGGATGACTTCCCAAATTTGATAAACTGGAATGCCGTTGCTATGCATGTTGAAGGGTTGACCGGATTACTTGATGAAACGAGCCTCTTATCCACATGCATCCGGATCTTATTCCTGTGTGTTTACCTTGGATGTGTGGTGCGTGGGTTGTGCCCCATGCTGAGGCTGATATTGCATTCTTGATGCTTTTTCACCGCAGTTGGGCTAAACCAACTTACACTTAAACTAGGTCTTTGTAAGCTGGATAAATTTCATTCCACTCTATTTGGTTTGTTCCGCCTACCTGAATAATGTTCTATTAACTGGCCACGTTGCTTACGTAAATTGCGCTTATCTTCGGTAACTTTGCTGCTTTTGTCGCAATTGTAAGTAACTTCTGGACATTTCTTACTTATCGTGGACACGTTGCCAACCAACTTACTTCATATGCTAATTTAGTGAAGACCGTCGCAACGAGACTGGAACTTAACGTGGTGCGACGGTTTGCGCACCTCATTGACCCCTTGAGCTATACTGGGTGATGCCTCCTGAGCATCTTGAAATCTACTCCTACCAGGTTGGTCAATGGTGAGAGGTCAGACAAACTCAGTCTCCTGGTCCTCCAGGTTGGGGGTTTGAAATGGGATGGCGTCCATTTCTGTAAAACTAAATCAATGCCACCCCGCTGCCTTGCGGACAGGCTTTTGAGCCAAAGGCTTTGGATGAGGACACTAATCGTCCTCCTGTCTAGGTCTGGGCGCCCTGGCAGTATCTCAGCCCACATGCAACCATGACATTTTCTTCAAACATAAACCTCGGCCTGCATCGGCCGTCGCGCAGAGTATCAAGGGTCGCCTTATCTGCTGCATACAGCAGGGCGGATAAGCGAAAACATGCTACTGCTGGCGCCTCCCTTCCTTCTTTTCCACCTTTTTCTCTTACTCCCATCCCGGCCCCCATTACTAACCTTCCTTCTATAATTCCCAGCTTAATTGACAGCAACCGAAGTGCTACTGGAGTAGAGCCATCTGCAACCGCCATCCCACAGCACCCAACGGATGCCTATCGGTAAAAGTCCCTTCCGAGGTCACGCTATCCCGTTTCCATGGCGACATTCAAGGTTCGTACTCCAAGACAAACAGGTCAACAGGCTGCACTCGTACGCGCCTTGAACACGCTGGGTGTTGATGTGTGTTGTGTATCCGAAACTAGGATTAATGACCCTAACGGGGTTATTGAATTGACTGCACCCGGCTTATCCTCTCGTTATTGATTGCACGCATCCGGAGACGCCGATGCAGCACTCACGGGTCAAGCTGGTGTAGGTATCATTCTCAGCTCCAAGGCTGAGTCATCGTTGCTTGATTGGATTCCGGTGAACAGCCGTTTATGTGCAGCCCGTTTGACGACATCAGCTAAGGTGAATTCGCGAAGTAAAACAAAACGCTGTTTGTTTGTGATTTCCGTTTATGCTCCCACCGACTGCAGCTCTAATGCAGTCAAGGACACTTTCTATCACGAACTGAACGCCCTACTACGCAGTGCTACTAGTTCAGATATTATAGTACTTGCAGGGGATATGAACGCACAAGTAGGGTATCTGAGCTCTTCAGAAGCTCAGCTGGGTGGCAATCATGGACTTAACTCCGAACGGACTGAAAACGGCGAGCGTCTGCTGCAACTGTGTGCGGAGCACCAGTTGTTTCTTACTAGCACTGCTTTTAGACACAGTGGGCGCCGAAGTGCCACTTGGCGTCCACCTGTAGCTGGCCAGCGATGGACCCAAATTGACCACATAGCCATAAGTTACAGGTGGCGCGGTTCCATTCTGGGTTGCCGCTCGTACTGGAGTACCTGTGTCGACTCTGATCATGCCTTGGTGCGCTGTCGTTTCTCCATGAACTTTACCGGAAGGCGCACAAAGCGTCTCCCCCGATTGGCAACAGAGAAATTGTCCAAGCCCTCCGTCAGGCAAGCCTATCAAGAAGCACTGCATAGCGAACTCTCGCTGTCTTGTCCTAATGACACTGAACTTCAGTGGAATAGGATCTCTGTTTCCATGCACGACGCAGGAGCATCTGCTTGTGGCACTACCCATCGTCATCGCACCTGTCACTGGATATCCGAGAGGTCCGTGAAGCTGTTGGAAGCTAGAAGACACCTCCCGGCTGGCTCTGAACACAATGTGAACAGACGGGCTACTAGGCGTGAACTAAATCAGAGGATACGTGCTGACAAGGAAGCCTGGTGGACCAGTCGGGCTCAAGAAATGGAGGAGGCAGGAGCAGTAGGCAATTACCGCAAGCTCTTCCAGCTACTCCGCACCACTGGTCCCAGAAAACCAGGCGTCAGTGAGACAAGCAGGGACAGCGCGGGTGCGCTGATACACAATAAGGAGCGCCGTATGCCTCGTTGGGCTGAACACTTTCGAGATCAGTTCAGCTGGCCTCTGCTCCCGGACCTCTTCCTACTCAGGTGATGCAGGACGTGCCATGGACGGTTAGTTTAGAGCCTCCGTCGGAGGCCGAGGTCCGAAACGCGATCACAGCCGTCAATCGTTTTCGTGCCGCTGGCCCGGATTCCCTCCCACCTGCATTATTTAAAGATGGAGGTGAGGTCCTCCGCAGGGCACTGACCTCCCTATTCG